GAAAGAAAAACTGAATGAAAAATGAATGAAAGAAAGAAAGACAGAAATAAAGAAGATTCAGACACAATGATAGAGGTCAAGAAAGTAAAAAGAAAGAATGAAAAAAAAATGAATGAAAAAATTGAATGAAAGAAAAAATTGAATGAAAAAAATGAATAAAAAGAAAGAAAGACAGAAATAAAGATTCAGACACAATGATAGAGGTCAAGAAAGTAAAAAGAAAGAATGAAAAAAAAATGAATGAAAAAAATTGACTGAAAGAAAAATTGAATGAAAAAATGAATAAAAGAAAGAAAGACAGAAATAAAGATTCAGACACAATGATAGAGGTCAAGAAAGTAAAAAGAAAGAATGAAAGAAAAAATGAATGAAAAAAAATTGAATGAAAGAAAAAAAATTGAATGAAAAAATGAATAAAAAAGAAAGAAAGACAGAAATAAAGAAGATTCAGACACAATGATATAGGTCAAGAAAGTAAAAAAAAGAAAGAATGAAAGAAAAAATGAATGAAAAAAAATTGAATGAAAAAAAAATTGAATGAAAAAATGAATAAAAAGAAAGAAAGACAGAAATAAAAGAAGATTCAGACACAATGATAGAGGTCAAGAAAGTAAAAAAGAAAGAATGAAAGAAAAAAAAAAATGAAAAAATTGAATGAAAGAAAAATTGAATGAAAAAAATTGAATGAAAAAAGATTCAAAAATGATATAGGTCAAGAGTAAAAAAAGAAAAGAAAAAAAAATGAATGAAAAAAAAAATGAAAGAAAAAATGAAAAAAAGAATAAAAGAAAGAAGAAATAAAGAAGATTCAGACACAATGATATAGGGTCAAGAAAGTAAAAAAAAAAAGAAAGAAAAAAAATGAAAAAAAATTGAATGAAAAAAAAATTGAATGAAAAAATGAATAAAAAGAAAAAAAATTAGATGAGGTCAAGAAAGAATGAAAGAAAAAATGAATGAAAAAAATTGAATGAAAGAAAAATTGAATGAAAAAATGAATAAAAGAAAGAAAGACAGAAATAAAGAAGATTCAGACACAATGATAGAGGTCAAGAAAGTAAAAAGAAAGAATGAAAGAAAAAATGAATGAAAAAAATTGAATGAAAGAAAAATTGAATGAAAAAATGAATAAAAGAAAGAAAGACAGAAATAAAGAAGATAGATAGAGGTCAAGAAAGTAAAAAGAAAGAATGAAAGAAAAAATGAATGAAAAAAATTGAATGAAAGAAAAATTGAATGAAAAAATGAATAAAAGAAAGAAAGACAGAAATAAAGAAGATTCAGACACAATGATAGAGGTCAAGAAAGTAAAAAGAAAGAAAATGCCTTAGACAAAATGGAAGATGCCATGCAAGAAAGACAGATAGATAAAAGTCGGACATACGATGGAAGAAATCACGAGAGAAAGAATTAACGAAAGAAAAATAAAGAGAAAGAAAAAAAGGAAGGAAGAAAGAAAAAACCCGAGACAAAATGGAAGATATGCAAAAGTGAAAGAAAGAAATCTAAGACACAATGGAAGGTATCATGAGAGAAAAAAGAATCCTCATTTGCAATGGAAGAAAGATTGAAAGAAATAAAGAAAGAAATACAGAAAGGAAGAAAACGCAGGCACACAAAAAAGCAAGAAGCTTCAGAAACTATGGAAGATGTCGTGTGTGGGATTTCTGTTAGAAAACCTAAATATTCATCACGACTGACAACTTTTAATTCAAAACCAACCAACCAAATAAACAAATGAATAAATAAATAAAAATCATACATACACGAAAAAATAAACAAAAAACAATTGAAGAAAAAAAAAAGATAATGTCTGCTAGCGATTTTTTGTTCGATACGAATAAGCAATGAAAACTTCGTGCATCATCGCCTCACTCAACGGCATTCAAAGACGGCCGGAGAATAAAGCGACTGAAAGATTTTAGTTTTATCTTATCCTATCTCAATATGACATCCCCCGCCATTCAAATTTAGCGTTTCACTTTTCTTTTCGATTCTTTATATATATATATATATATATATATATATATATATATATATATATATAGAAATATTTCTTCTTTTATAGCAGAATACGGGGATTAAAGATCTGGATTATCTCCATTTCTTTTTTTTTACGCGTTCTCCGCTGTCATAAAATCATTATTGCCATTATAAACGTCATTCTTATAATGGTTATCAGTTATGAATATAATTATTTATTACTGTCGTTAAAGGCATTATTTTTCACTATTATTAGTAGTAGCGACAATAGATGTCAAAATATTCATAGTATCATTAATTCCTTTATCATTTTGTTTCTATTTCTTATATTATCACGGATATTATTGTCCTTTGTGTCATTATCGCTTCTTTTGCATGATGGGATCTTCTTCGAGACAGTCTGGATTATCTCCCTTGCATATTTCTTGTATTTCAATTGCTATTTACTTTGTCCCTATGTTTATTGGCTTTCTCTTTTCATGCTTGTTCTTGCTAGTTTGATATTATCTACGTCATTCTTATTCTAAACTTTTCGCCTTTGTAGATTATTATTATTATTATTATTATTATTAGTATTATTATTATTATTATTATTATTATTATTTCGGGTTCAGAGTTCGGAAGAGCGTAAAATCTTAGCTATAAACTATAAAGTTGAAAAAGAAAGAAGTTATAGATTAAAAAAATATCATTGGAGAAAATCTACACGCATGCGCGTACAAAAAAGACATAAAACAATACCAAAAAAAAAAAAAACAAAAACAAAAAAACAAACAAACCCAAAAAAAAAAAAACAAAACGAAAAAAAAAGAAAATGGAGAATGGAGGATAAAAATATTTCCTTGGGAAGAAAAGAAATGAATATATATATATATATATATATATATATATATATATATATGTGTGTGTGTGTGTGTGTGTGTGTGAAAAACGGCACTAGTAATAGCGTAAAGGAAAGAAGAAGCAGTTCAATTTTCTAATGAAAGATAAAACCGAAAAGATGAAGAAAAAAGCGACTCGGTTTTATAAAAAAAACAAAAATATACAGAAAAATCATTGCAATTACTTTGAGATTAAAAGAAAAAGAATTATTATTGGAATATCTTCAGGATCAGGACGATTAGAAAAATTCGTCTAATAGAGATCAAAGAATTATAAAGAGCATTTGTTTAAACACACACACATACACGCATACACTCATACACAAACACTCGTATATATCTGCGTGTATTTGTCTATATATATATATATATATATATATATATATATATATATATATATATATATATATATATATATATATATATATATTCAAGTGTATGCGAAGATGTGATATTTACTGTATACATGTAAATTCATATACTATTATACACAATATAATGATTTGTCTATACATATATAAAATAGAGAACACACTTTTGGCTTACTTTGAAGATGTGTTAAATATATCTATACAAGATATAAAAAAAATCTTTGCATGCATAAAAATATTTGAATAAACACCATGATCACGTCTTTCCTCTCTCTCATATATATATATATATATATATATATATATATATATATATATATATATATAGTTTAAATAAAAGTTTTAAAAATTGTTAAATTTATAAACGTTTTCTTGTTTGTTTTATCTTATCATATATATATATATATATATGGGGATAACGATATATACATTTTATATATCAAGAACAGTTTTGGAGGAAAAATGTATGACAAAGTGGAATTAATTCCGTGTGAATTAATAAAATCGTTAACAATTTTAAATAGGGAGTTTCTTTCCACCCAGTTTATATATAATGTGTATTTGGACACCAATTCTTCTTTTATGCAGGTTTCATTAAAGACGACTGACAGGGCACTGAGATTAAGCTTTTTATTACAACTGATTTCTTTTTTGAACAGAATGTGTTAAAACTGTGCATATGATCTGTGCATCCGAGCACTTTCGGCTAGTCTGTTAGCCATTATCAGTGACGTTTTTTTGTTTGTCTGGTTATGTAGTTTTATTTTTAGCGATAAGAAATGTTTTGAATACAATTAGCATTGCATCTTTCGTATCATAGCTCCATCAGGACCCATTTAATTACACACGGAGACCTAAAAACCGCTATAAGAAACATAATTGTAGAAAATACCAACAAATACACTCATTTAAACGCAGAAAACGCTTACAAATAAAGGAAGCTTTTACCATAAAAATGAAGAAGGGTACTCTCACTAATATCAATTGTGAACACGGTTACAATTCAGTCGAATTCGTTGCATTCACATTCGTGCAAATTCCTTGGTGGGAACCTTTCTCTCCCCAGCTATGGGTTAAATAGTAAGACAGAATTGCCTCTTCAGACTTAGCTCGCAATCAGTCTTGGAGAAGGAGAATCTGAATCGAGAAATTAACTTGCTATGGAAAGGCTTCGTGCCCGCCCCATATGCCAAAGTGAGATTTTAGGAGCATTGAGTGAATAACTTAAGCAATGAGTGTTTTGTTTTTTAAAAAAAAATTCTAGTTTTTGGCGTTGGAGGTTTTAATTGTTTGAATTTGTTTAGTGGTATCTCCACTTCTATGGGTTATTTAATGCCGAAATGTATATAATTTGAACACAGCTTTATGGCTTCTACTAAATATATTTTGAATGCAAAGGTATTCCTTCAACGCCAAATAAATTGTATTGTTGGCGATTTTGCTTTAAAAATGTCTTGTTGGTATTTTTACAATAAAAATGTATTTTTAAACTTTCATAGAATTTTCTTTTTAACTATTTGCCCATAGCTGGGACCCTAACAGGTGCTATCACCTCGGGTCAGGATATACCTAGGAACAACTGCAGTTAAAATATTGTTCCGCGCTTCTCAAAACCGCCAATCTCCCAATCAGAAGGCTTGCTGCCGGATGTAGTTTATCGTCATACCCAGGATTGACATTGGAGGTAAAAAGAAAGAAATAAACTTTTCTAACTATATAAAGAATTTTATTTCAACGAGAAGTGGTTTGCGTCGTGGAAGAATTC